AAAAAAAAAAAAACAGTACACCCAAATTTGCCATCAAAAAAGTGAATTCAGCATCAAAACTTAAAAAGCAAACCTTTATGAAAATAGAACTTTTTGGTTTAAACTCCACTCGTCATGTTTGGAGGAAGAAGAATGATGAGTACAACCCCAAGAACACCATCCCAACCGTGAAGCATGGCGGTGGAAACATCATTCTTTGGGGATGCTTTTCTGCAAAGGGGACAGGACGACTGCACCATATTGTGGGAAGGATAGGGTTGGACAATATTGGCAAAAAAAAATAAATCACGATTAATTGTGCTATTTAGCCGATAACGATTAATTTGACGATTAATCCCYTGGAGTCCCTGGACACCCTTACGTCCTAGTCACATGACCAATTTAGTGGGAAATATTTGCTCTTCGTAAAAATCTGTTCCAACTTGTGTCAAAATTACAGACTTCAGGCCATACATCAAATTTTAAATTGTGTTGATAGATAAATTAATTACAGAACTTCTGGTGTCCGCAGGGACTTGATAAAGTGCTATACAAGTTCAGTCCATTTACCATTTTAAAAAGTCTTAAATTTGACTTGCTGAAACCTGCAGATACCCTGCCTGTTTGTGTATCTAAATGTAAGCATTAGTTTATTTTTGTTAGAAAAGCAAACTGAATGTGAAATCCATTTGAGCCAAGAACAGCTGTAATATTGTCTATTTGTTGTTCTGTTTTATTTCAGTAAAATGACATCACTGACAGAAGATGTGAGACGCAGTGCGATGGTGTGCATCCTGACCGTCCCAGCCACCATGACAAGCCACGACCTCATGAAGCTTCTGGCGCCATTTAATGATGTTATGGAGCATATGAAGATTATACGTGACTCCACCCCTAATCAGTACATGGTTCTGATTAAATTCTCTTCCCAGGCAAGTTTTGTGCACAGTCAACTAAATTATGCTTGATGGATGCTCTACAACTGCTTGAAAAATTATTGCTGTTTTATTTTGGAGAAACTAATTTCACAAGACTGGCATAATTCTGTTTTTATTAAATGGCTGAACATTAAAATTTTGTGAGACAAAACTCAAAATAATGTAAATAATTATATTTTGGACAGATTCGTAAAACTGAAAATGTAATAAAAAATAGCTCCTGATATGATGTCAGCATGTCCTAGGATGTTTCTCAACCAGAGCTTCAAGTACAATACAATTGAGTGGATTTGCTAGTTTTTATTAGTTATTATTGCATTTTTAATGCTTAGTTTTAGTTTAATTTAGTTTTTATTAGTTATTATTGCATTTTTAATGCTTAGTTTTAGTTTAGTTTTTATTAGTTTTAGTATTAGTTTTTTTTATAGTTTGAATAAACATATTTGCCAAAGCATCCTCAAGCTTGTGATGTTCCTGTGAGTTAACTAACCAACAGCTATTTGGTGGCTACTTAAAGCAGTCCATTATAGC